GCACAGAAGGGATGTGAGAAACTTGTGAAAAGTGGGAGGCTGCAGCAGGCTGTATGAGCTAAACATAACACACAAGAAATGAACTATCTTACAATCAAAACCAAGTTTCCTGTCCTGTAAGTAACGCCAAAAAAGCCACTTCGTGCCCTGTCAGCCTCACCTATCACACAATTACTGACGCCAAAACTATTTATTCACCTCAAGTGTCACAGGAGACACAACACTTCTGAGTGGACACAGGTCAGTGCTCTTTTGCACCGGAAGTAGGACCCGCTCTAAATGTTTTAGTACTGTGTCTCCTTGGCAACCCTCTGCTGCCATTTGTCACATTCACCGCTGGACTTTTAAAAAGCCGAAACAAAAACCTGATGTGCGAGCAATGTGAGAAGGCAGATCGTCAAATTCTGTAGCAGCTTGAAGAAATAAAAAAAATGCTGATTTGCATTGAATTTAACCACCATTGTTTCTTAACAGACAATGTTCACACTTCTAGAGGAAACAGACACTGAAATACACTCAAATCTGCCTCGGTTGGAAGTGCTTGATTCACGCAGCCAGACTTGGACAGCGAGAAGACGCAGATTAACAGTGCAGAACAATCTCAGACACATAAACAGGCAGATACTTGAGAGCGAACACGTGCATCTGACAGGCGATTCACGTGGACTGACCGCAGCAGAAAGATATGACTTAGTGAAATTTTGTCATTTTTGCCAGAATCCAGGCTGACATTTCCTGACCTTTTCAAATACCTTTTAATGTGCGTATTTAATCAGTACCTTTGTGGTTGAGTGTAACTATAAAGTTATCACAATGCAACTAAGTTGAGCAAAGGTTAAACGGTGAGAAAAGCCTTGAGGAATTTCCTACATGGAAAAAAATATAAATATTCAAATCTACTGAAACAATCAGCTGCCTCATCTGAACAACGTGTCACGAAGAAACTATCCATTACAGAATGCCTCAACTATTACAGCTGTTAAATTAAAACAAGTAGCCACTTTGCTGTATAAAACATTAAAAGGCATGTGTCTGTGTCTGTAACTAACTCCAGCTCTAATTCGCTGACATTCTGTGGAATTTCTGTAATTCTAATAGAGTTAGGCCGGCTCCATCACATGACAGCGGCTGCCCTCGTGCTGAAAATACAAAGCATTCACAGAGTGAGCAGCAGCAACCCCGCCCCCCCCCCTCCCAAAAAAACATTAACATGTGACCTTCAACAATTAATATAACTGTTAAGAGCTTGTAACACAGCATACGTACTGAATACTTTGCATCTCTCACAGGCACATACATCCATATACTTATACATGTATATGTATAAGTTCTCTGCAGCTGCCGAATGAGGGACAATAGACATATTAATAAATGTTTCACTGGGAGTGGCGACTGTGGTGTCTCCAGTGAGGTCTAGCCTGACAGAGACAGAGCCAGCGTTGTTCCTCTTACCTTCCTTTTAATGTCGGTGAACTGGGAGAACATGAGCGACCAGTAAAAGGCCAGTTCTGTCACGTAGTAGTGGTAAAGACCCGGAGTCATGACCTGAAGAGGACACAATAGGTCAGTTCTAATCAGAATTTTAGTTTCTTTTTATCATTATCTTACAACAGACTATACAGGATTTCACACAGTACTGACAGTGAAAAGATGACATGTGATAGCAAGTCATCACAGCACACATCCTGGCCCCATGAATCATCACAATGCTCAAAGTTAGTTTAGCAATAACGCACGAGAAGTTGCTCTTTCGAGGGAATCGCGTCATTCCTGATCATCAGTCCTTTCATTAGGAAGAGGCAGTGTGGTGTGTGAGGGTTTCAATCTCTGTCCAACTCAATGAGAATCAGATCAGATGAAGCCTTTGACTATATGAAACATATCTACATCTGTAATCTGGACAAATATGGATGTGAGTTGATATACGAGGGGCCAGTCTGTCCGTTTTTACTAGTCCATTGTATTAAACACAATGAATATATTAATAAAATAAAATAAAAAATCACATAAAATCCAATATTGCCATGAAATCCATCCTGACTGTCTGAGATATTAAACAACAAATTCTGGCCATCTTGTGGTGCGTATCATCATATTTCCTGAGCCTAATGGTCATTTTAAGTGATAATAATACTACCACTACTAATTGTAGCTCAGCAACATGGTTGCTAAGCAACACATGAGTACCTGAAAGAGTGGTAATGTTGATATCGCACATGTATAAAAGACCATTTTTATTTAGTATTTTAGGAGTTAGCATCAAATATGTCTCATGGACAAAAAGAGACAATCAGGATCAGAGTTGTCATTTCTCATAAAAAAGTATATAAGTAAGTGTTTATTAGCTATTTTAATCTCAATGTGATATGGATGAAGCAACAGGAATATAAGGATGACTTGCTTTTTATGACACATTATCTTTTACACAAGAACAGTATAAAAAGGCAGTGAAGAAAAGGCAAACAGATACTGTCAATCCTTCTGCTGTTTCCTTCTGTGCTGTTTACTCAAGTGTAAGGTGGGAAAGGAAAAAAATAAGTCAACGCAAGATACTTTTCTGCATGGCTTCTCGTGGCACTGCACACCAGTTTATTAGGTTACAAAATCATGCAATCGACATCAACAACCCTGCAAGAAAATGTTCAGTTCCTGATATTGTTGGTTCATAGTTGATACTGGAACTACATCATACCTGATAGGGGTAACCGTACCAGCAATGCCGTGTATCCCACATCCAAGGACACTAAAAAGAACAAGTATTAGTTGAGCAATCAATCGGTAATGCTATTATCCGTTGAAATATGCCCAGCCTATCAAACAATGCTATCAGAAAAAAAGCATTTATCAATGTTTTTTGATCCGAGGGTGTGCTCACCTGCCACAGAAACTGGAACCCATAGGTAAATATGCACGAATAAAATGTAAACCTCCACCTAGAAGCAGAGAAGAAGTCAGACCCAGAGATTGAATTTTGACCCAGAAAATGAGAAGAAACAATTAAATATCAAACACATGCACATTATTATTGCCCCTACCCTCACCATTAACAATACAATGCTTACTCTAACATAACCTGATCCTAATTCAAACTTTAAATCAAAATCCAACAATTTCCAGGCCTTGAATAAAAAACAAGGAGCAGCCAAAATGTTCTCATCTTACAGTCTAAAACAGATTGAAGGTAGCTAGCACTTGTGTTGGGGATACAAATGTAATTTAAATTCATCTAATTTAAGTCACAGTTGAAGTCAATGTGCTGTTCAAGATGGCATATTGTATTGTTAATAGAGTATTAATGTGGAATGATGATTATTTGTTATCCTCTCTACCTACGGGTGAAAAGAAAGTTAAAGGGCAACATGGCTGAAAGGAGCTGATGCAGAACAGATTAGTGTGAATGTGGTGGAAAGTATGGGAAGTTGTGGGATATGGGGGGAATAAAGGTCAATTAATACATACTTTTAGACATGTTTAAAATGTGTATGTGCACATAATTGATGTTTTTTGATGTTATGAGATAAGCTGATATGGTTATATTAAATCATATCGCATAATCTGAGGACCAGAAACTCTTATCATCCGCAGACGTGATTTGAACATGAGGGAAAAAGGCGCTCAACAATTTTTAATGATTTTAGTTTATTCAGAAGAAGGAATATGTATAGCAAGCGGTGAAGGCAAGATTGGTCAATATTTATTATTGAATTAGGTGGGTTCGAAAGAGACACTAATGGTGTACTACGTAGAGAGGCTCAGATGAAGTAGTACCGGACGTATAAGATTTTCAGAAGTGGAATGACCCAGCAGCGGCTCACTCGCACTTTATTGGGGATTGCTGGTACGGGCAGTGGGAGCCTGTTTCTGTGTGCTGGTTG